GCTGCATACAAATCTCTCTCATCATCTACTCCACACAAAACCTCTGTTGACTCTAATCTTTAAATTCACATTCACGTGAACTGTCTCAAATGCAAATGGTTTCTTTATTACCTGAGATTATCTGTTCACTTTTTCCCAGGAAACTATTCACTTTTGTATACCCCCTTTCCAGATGCTGCTTAATCCATCATTATACAGCACAGTCTTATTCCCCCCTTCCTAGCACCATATGGTGACATTAACTAAGGTGGAGTGACTGGGGCAGCAGCCTAGAGTGCCAATTTGGGGGGTTTGAGGAAAAGTAACAGCTGCTGCCATCTGGCTGCATTGCCAACACTGGAACCCAGAAGCTGTCTGCCATGTGTACTACTGTTACCCCGAGTGCCAAGCCGCCCTGCTATACCTCTGTACCCATGCATGCTCCTCATCACCTACTTTTCATGACCCATGGACTTTTTCATTTGTTCATTCACTGGAGCATTTGTTTATTCAACAATGTGTCTCTTCATACCCACATGCCATAGCATCCTTAAATATATGACATACATATTATGATTCAAAGACCATTAAAATCAATGCAGTTCTGTTCACCAGCTGCAATGAGCTTTGTGTAAGACTTTATGCAAGACTAGTATCTTGCTGGAGTTACATTCTCACAAGATTCTCCCTGTCTCAGGTACCAACCACCCTCCTAGTTCATTTTTTCCCGTAAAAAACAGGTTTGGGGGAACAGAAATTGTCTTTCATTATGGCATACACAGGACCAGGCATGCTCTTGGCATTTATTACACTAAACAACAATAATAATAATTAATAATTGCGTTGTCTATTAGATGCATTTACCGTAAGAATAATTTGGATTATCTAGCAATCTGGAAGCAAAAGAGTGTTCTCTTTGTCCTCCTCAAAACTGATGGTAGGTATAGTACTTGATTAAATTTTCTTAATAATTCACTTGAAAGCCTCATTTTCACTGAAATAGTCTCCTGATCTTTGGATTCAGCATGTAGGATTTAGTACATATCACATAACAGAGTGTGAGCATACATAGTGGTTTGAGGTTCCAGGTGCAACTATAAAGAATGTGGAAACAAGAAGGAAGAATTATTTTAAATGCTGCCTAACTGTGTTTTCTCCATTCAAATAAAATTAGCAGAAGTGCCATTACACTTCCTGCAATCACAGCAAAAGGGTCTGAATGGACATGTTACATGCCAGTAGGGTTGTGGGTTTCCTGTCAGGGTTAAGGCCTGTTACTAGTTATAATAAGGAACTGTATACTGACGCTACACCTGTTCTGTGGATAAACAGAACAGTTTGGCTTTCAAGGATGTCAGTTCTGTCACTGTCCCTAAGTTTTAAATATGGAGCAACACAAAACTTTTTCAAAGAAGCTAGAAATGAAATGGAGAGGCACTTTTAGAGCTGTTTCACCCTAATGAGAGGGGTCCTGGTTATCTCTAATAAAAAACCCCAAATCCCCAATTTTCAGATTAAAAAAATTAACCCAAAATCCACATTTTTCCATGATAAAAATGAAACACTACTATGTATGTATAAATATATACATATATATTTTATACAGCTCATTTTAATCACATTGTTTTATTAAATACTTGGGTGACTTAATTACTACTAAAACAAAATTGAAAACATGTTTTGCATCAGCACCTAACTGCCTTTCATGTTGTGTTGAGTCAAAGATCTGTGAAACTTGGCAGTATTGCTCTGTACAAGTTTGTGCACAGTGAACAGTGATTCCAATTATTTGCTTTTCATGAAAGCAACAAACATTTTTTTTACATTTTTTTTTCTGAATATGTAAGTGACTATAACATACTGTATTCAGTGACTGATTCTTAGGAGTCATCTTTCCTCACTGAACTATAGCTCTTGCATAAGCCAGAAAAAAACCCCAAAACAAATCTCAGGTGAATTCGCCTGGTTTTTCCCTCCAAATATTAGATCCTAGAGGATTTTGAGGTTAAGCCAGACAATGATCATAAGTTATTGAAAAGACCCCTTAATGACTCTCTTACTGAACCTGAGTTTTTAGTGTCAAGGGAAACAACACCAGCCAAATTTGGCCTTGTTCTGTGTTTTGTGGCGAATGAATAGTTCTGTTTTGTATAAACAGCAACTGTCACACTCATTTAGTGACAAGGGCTACATTCTATGTCTGATTCTGTTACATAGACTAGGGTATAAATTCAGGGCCATATATCTCAGTAAATAGCAGGAACTCTTCTAAGAGACCATCTTATCCCTTTTGCCCCATCATGATCCCCTAAAGTCCGCCAAGGGCAACTTCATGCAAGTACCATCAATATGCCAAATGCACTTGGCAAAAATGCATGGGAGGTTATTCAGCTCTAGAACAACCCTCCTTCTTGAGGCCTGCTAGAGCCTGAGCTTGGGCATCTTTTAGAAGTTCTGTAAAACCTTCTTATTTGGGCAACTGATCAGCAAGAAAGCAAAGCTTTGCTATTGGTTGGGATAATTATATTTTATGTTGATACTCTAACTGTTTTTTATGTTGCTTTGTTCTCCTGTTCATTCTTCTGTTTTATAATTGATTCTGTTCACACGTTGTAGCCTTTTCTGGAAAGAGTGGCATATACATCTATTACATACATAACATAATTATGAAAATATAGCCTTCATGTGGTAATCAAGCTTTTACTTATAAGCCATGTCTACACATGCACATAAAAGTAGCTTATTCTGTTGTGCACTAAAATGGCATGTAAAAAACCATGCTAATATGCTAGTACACCGTAGAATAGGCTACTGTGCATTAGGCATCACCTAAGAAGTGTGCACTTGCACCAATGTGTATTATGCCAGCCTGATGCACATTAATTTGGTACCTCATATTGGAGGTACTGAATTTAATGTGAATTCTGGTCACAGTGGGAAAGTTATCTCTGCTGCCATGATGACTAAGAAATTATCATCATCATTATTATTATTAGAAAAAATATTAGTAACAGTAGTAGTAGTAGTCGTAATTATGATGATGATAGTGAAATCTGAATTTCTGTACTCCAAAGTATATGTGGGTTTCAAAAATGCAGCATATGAAAAAGATTCAGCTTTTATGCCACTGTGTTTGAGACATTTCCTAAGGTTCTTTTATACATGCACTGAGTCAACTCTGATTCTGCTACTTCTATGCAACTTGATTGACTTCATTGCAATAGTGCAGTGGTAATTGAAAGCTATATGTGACCCAGTGAATTCAAAGCAAAGTATCATGCTTTGTAGAAGTAAAGCTTTTGAATAAAGGAAACCTTCAAATAAAAACTGGACAAATGACACAAACAATCTACTTTCTGCTTCTACCTCCCACACTCCCAAGGAAGAAGGTCTTGATCCACCCTGTTTGGTGATCCATTAAACACTCATTCAGTGAAGTATTGAGGGATTGATCTTTTCCCAGGAAGGTTACACAGTGTGCATGATGAAGAGCATTTATTTCCCCTCCTTCTCGGCTCCTCATTGTTACTGTTCCTATTTGTCTGTCCACTTGCATTGTACTCATAGAACTAATTTTAACAAATTCCAGGCAATAGCAGTGGATCAATAAATGTGCACAAAATAGCAGTCTATTCTGCTGTCGAAGTACAACAGCAAAGGAGACAAATTAATTCTAGCAGTTTTTATATACAGTGTGATTGACTTTAACCATCGTTCCCCTTAACTCCTTTTTTTTCCTAAGCTATATGAAAAAAGATTTGAAATATGGTGCAACTTTATAAGAACAACTTTCAAACTGCATGCAGAAGAAAAGGAGTACTTACCACCAAAGCAAGGAAACAAGCAAAACATATTTTTAAAAATAAAGAGGTTGCAGAGATCTTTTGTAGTTTACTGTTAAGGTCTCTCTTAATAAGGAGTGGGAAAACCATGACTAAAACATTCATTATCCATCACAGTCCCTAAAGAAAATTAAAAAAATAGAATCACTAGTTTATTCATTTTTGCAAATGATACAGGAGGGGAAAAGAAGGACCTAAACAATTAATAATAATGCAGAGGCCCAGACTGTAAAATCAATAAGTCAGCTCAGTAGAGCTCAACTTCTTTATAATGCTCCTGTAGAGCTTACCCTCTGAATTATATATGTATTGACCTAATTACATAAGTATTGACTTTGCTTTATATAAAGCCTTTTTCAGTCTTAGTGTAATTACAATGTCAATATTTGTTGCATATAATAACATTGAATTTTGACATGTTAATTTTGATTGATAGTGGCATGCCACAAGTTATTATATAGGATAAGACAGTTCAAAAATATGCACACAAAACAGAAAGCAAATGACAATGCTGGTACAGCTGAATGTGTCTCCGGGGCCTTGTATTTATGATTATTGAACCAGGCATTGGAGGGGTAATGGATGATGGTTATTTCATAAGAAACCTGTTTCTTAGAAGAAGAGGAAAAAATCTTTTATACGTATCTGAAGTTCAGAAAATTCAACCAAAAGCTCAGTATCTGTCTTGCTTATATTTTATCTTATACCATGGATATCTGGTGTAAAGTCTATTTTAATTTAAGCCAAAATAGAATCCCTATAATATTCTATCAGCTATTCTTTTTTTTTTTGCTCTAATTTTTGGATTCAGATACCTGAAAGTGAATAAAATTGCTTCTTTTAAATCCAATATGGGAGTGAGTAGTAGACTTCGGGATACTTCAGGGACTTTCAAAGTATTCCTTCATTGAATGTTTGCTTAGCTATATATTTACAAGAACTACTTTGTCCAACACTGGTAGAGTTGTGAATTACTTTCAAGGATAAACTGCTATATAGTATAGCATGTGTTTCTAGATGCAATTATGAAGGATTTTGAATTTGGCAGTAACATGAAGAATCAGAAACCAAACTGTGACACACTGTGTGCTCCATATATTTAAATTTGTTCTAGCTATATCACGTTACCAGTAGTGGAAAGGCATGAATCATCCTGTATTTTCTTATTTGTCTCAGCAGGGATGCCAGACAAGATGAACCTCAGTGATGTAAAGCAAATCCATCAAACAGACGGTGGCAGCACTTTAGACACAACTGGAGCAGGATGTACAGGAATGGTTCCTTATATGACATTTACGTTGATTAGTGTGGTAACATTACTTCTCAGTCTTTGGTAACTGTGCAGTCCTGTCTTGATACATGCATCTCATTGCAGTCTGTTCATCCACCTCATGAGCCCAGATACAAGATCTGTTGAATGTAGCAATATTTATGATGGCTTGTGTAATATTAACTCTCTGACCCTAATTCTGGATATTAATTAAATTGTTTGTCTAACATATTTCTTAAGTTTCTTAACACCTGTATAGGTAAGCAAAATCATGTTTCTTTTTAGTATATCTTGAAATTATATATTACAAATATAATGCTGGAATGTTGCCTTTGTTAATCTTTTGAGAAAGAGAACCTGATAAAACTTCTCACCATTTTTGAATTTTGTAAATGAAAAGCCTATGTTCTTACCATTTACAGGAAAACAATCTGGGCCCTGGAGCTGTATAAAAGCAGAGGTTGAGTGCCCCAACTGCTTGTCCCCTCTTTTTTCTGCTGCTGAATTTAAATGTAGAAGTTGCCAGCTCATCATAAAAAATCAATTGTACAAAGAGACAGAATTAATTTTTAGAGTTTGCTTTTAATACTTCAGAAAAACTAAATGGTATGCAGCACACATGAGTGTGTATATGTGCCTATGATTCAGTTTTATCTAGAGATAAAAGAATATTCTTATGGTATTGAATGATGATGGAAGCTGGAATGTTTTATACTGCTGAATGCATTAAATAGTATTGTTATCAGTTGCTAATTGAATATTCACATTCAGTTATCTTTTTGTGACTGATTCACATTCCATTTTATCTAGAATGTCTTCAAGAATATTGCATTTTCTTTCTTTTGAAGTCATATGCAAAAAACTAAATTGAACTGTATGCATACATACTTAGAAGTCTTCCTAGACTGTAAAGTTTTTATATTAGACAACATAAAGAAGTACATGTAAATATTTTGGGTTCCTAAATGTGTTCAGTTATCATTATATACACTGTGTTACATATAGGCAAACAAAAACAGCATTTAAACAAACCATTCCTAAGAGCAACTACATGCCCAAATAAACATCAGTAATAGGCACACCAAATACTGTGTACTTTTAGTTAACCTTATTTTCAGGTCTTCTGTGCTTATTCTGTAGTCATCATGGACCAAATCCAGTGTGGTCTTAGCTGAACCTAAGTGGGATTTAGGCTGAATTTAGTCACTAAATTCTCAATAGGGTACACAGGAAACTTCTCTAAAAGATTGGTTTGGGCATTCAGATGAAGGGCACTGGGAATTCCTGAGTTCTGGTCCCTACTGCCAGTCCTATTTCCCTGCTTTAGCCAATTCCCAAGGGTGGATCCAGGTTGAAGGTGGCAGAATGCCATCCTCCCCCTCTACCTGCCCCAACACTACCTATGTGCTGCACGTGCAGTGAAGTTTGTGACTTCACTGGCATGTCAGTGCAGCTTCTGCTGTAGCTTCACATGTGATGTGAGCTCTGACCTCACCAGTTTGTCAGCTCAGGATCTTGCTGGAGCCCCTGCTTGAGTGTCCCACAGCAAGAGTATCACTTCTTCTTACCCTTCACTTCCCACCATTCCACTCTGCCCCCACTTAATTCAGTAGCAGGGAAAAACAGGAAACCAATGGTGGAAACCAATGGCATTGATTTCCCAGGCCCTGGAGCTGTATAAAAGCAGGGGTTGAGTGCCCCAACCGTTGTCCGCTCTTTTCCCTGCTGCTGAATTTAACAGAAGGCAGGAGTGAAAGGAAGGGTGAACAGCAGTGGTGCTCATCCCTTGGGCTCCAGCCAGAGTCTGAACAGACCAGCTGGTTAACTGAGAACTCACAGTATGTGTAGAGCTTGAAAAGAGCGATGCTAACATGCTGTTAAGTTCAGAGAGCTCAGTGACATCTAGTTTGCAGTGAGAGGTCCAGTAATCATGATTTTCTATGTAAAAACTGTCAAAATTGTCGGAGAAAATATATATGGTATTTTAGATTGCATTTGCAATATGGCCAAAAGGAAATACGTTGCAGAGCATCCAGGTTAGCTCTTGTGCAGAAAGATCTATCATAAGTTCATTGATTCCTTTTTTACTGGATGACAATGACTAGCTGATATAAAATATATAAATAGTCCTAGAAGCAGGGACCAGAACCTGTAACTACCCTGTCCCAAGGGATAATTGTCATTCTTGAGCTACAGAGTTATGGCTTCTTTTGCTTGTTTTCATTCTGGCCCCATGAATCTGTACATTGGCCCAGGCAGTGGAGAATAAGACTTCTGGGAAATGAGGAATGTAATTTTAAACTCTCTCAGTTCAAAAGCTGAGCAGGACCTAAAGACTTTCTCTCTCACTTCCTGGGTGAGTGCTTTGAGTACTATACTATAGTGGGCCATGGCACCTGCAGCAGTATTCAGGTGCCTGCCTTCTGGACACCTGGAATCCTGAGATGAGAAAAACTCCTAAGTTCTGGATAAGGGCAGGAATTCAGACACAATCTTGTTTTCCTTTGTTTCCATTGACTGATTCTAAGAATTTTCCTGCTCAGCACTTCAGTGCTGTGGATCAGCCCTCAGAGATGTTTAACATTTCCAGTTCAATGTTATGCCCCTTAGGTACCTCTCTTGCCTTCAGCAATGTGCCTGTCTTGTGGCACACTGGCCACATCTACATGAGACACTGACAGTGCAGTTGCTACTGCAAGGTTATTTAGTACTTGCATACCCAAGTACTAAATGCCTGCAAAGTTACCGGCATTACTGTGCAAATAGCATCTCTGCATGGCTTCCGGGTAATGCTGACTGCACAGTAGTTCATTACTACTGTGCAGTATCTCATTAGTACTATGCACTATCATTGTGTCATGGTTTGTTCCCCGCCATGCTACTGTGCAATACTAATCAGCTACTGCGCAGTAGTAACAAGCTAGTATGCAGTAAGCGGCTCATGTTGACATGGTCACTGAAGCCTAAATGGAAGAATCTATAAAAAAACTGCTGGATCTGACCCTCACTGCCTATGTGAGTTAGTTTTCCACCTTTATGCTGAATTGATGATATTGAATGCATTCGGTAATAGCCAAGGAGGAAAGAAAAATCTTATTTAATTCACAGAAGTTGTCATACTAGACCAGAACAGTAGCCCATCTCATCCAACATCTCATTTCTATCCATCTTCAGTCCAAGATACTTCAAAGGAAATTGCAAGAAGTCCAGAAATAACTTTTCCTCAGAAAGTATTTCTATTAATACCCAGTATTTAGAAGTCAGCTAATGCTCTGAAGCACTTTTTTTCTATCCCAAACTTTTATTATAGTTGTTGTTGCTGCTTTAATCCTAGCTACTGGAACCAGATATTCACAATGGGTCTAATTTTCAAAGTCACCTTAAAAACCAAAGTTCAATTTTCAAATGAAAATAAGCAGTTAGGACTAAATTTCACTGAAAAGTAATAAGCCTTAAGTGCTTAAGAGTGTGAGGTCATGACCACACTGCTGAGTTCGGGACTGCCATCAAAGAAACAATTTTCACTCTTGGTCATGTCCAAACCCAGAAACTGGCTAGCATACACAATTGAGCAGTCTTGAGCCTGTCCCCCAGTGCCACTCAGAAAGACTTTTGAGGCACAGAACCAGATAACTGCATGTAACCAGGACCAGAGCCCTAGGGGCAGCCATGATGCTTCCTGGTGGCCACATGGCTCCTGCCCTACTCTAGCTCTAGGGTACCCTTCTTTTTCTCCTTCCTGCCACACCTTAATGTACTTGGTTAGGGACTTGAAGAGATTATCTAGTCCAACCAAAGATCTTGGGAAGAGAAGCTGCCCAAGGGTCCTAGAGTGAGCCCTAGTCTGTCTTCCTCCCAGAAGAACCCCCTCAGTCCTCTAGAGAGTCCTCTAATCCCAATCCAGCTCTTTATGCTAGGTGGGCCTTCCTGGCCCATATGTGCTCCCAGGGCACTGTTGACTTATGGGATATTCATGATCTCTGACCTCCCTTATAGCCACACCCATGCCTCATGAGCCTTTCCTTTCAATCACTCTCTCGTTGGGGCTTCAGCCTTCTACAGTGCATATGATTCACCCCTTTGATTTTGCTGGGTCTTCCAGCCCAGGTCCATTGTGCTGGACCTGTCTTCTAGCCTCCAGCCTTTTTCTTGCCTATTCTGGCACTGGTCTAAGAAATGGGCTCTCTAGCCCTGTCTCTGCCTGACCTTGGGCCACAGGCTCTCTGGTTCCATCACCACTTTGCTTTGGGCACTGCCCCCCAGCCCTGTCTACCTTCAGCCAGATAGGCTTCACCTTCTCTGTAGGCTACAACCCCCTTTCTGGTTGCTGCCTAGTAGGACCTTGAACTCAGCCCTTGGCAAGGCTCATGCAACCACGTGCCCCATGGACACCACTGGGACCTTTATCACCCCTGCCAGACCCAACCCAAACCACCAGTAAAAAAATCAAATGAAGACATAAGCACTCTGGCTATAACTAAACTCCTAGCACACTAGCTGTGTAATAAAACCCCTACTTATCCATGGTCCCCTGCAAGCACTCAGCTCCTTACTTGCTGCTCCCAGGAAAACCAGGACCCCAGGCAATAGGTCAGCCACAACCAGCTTGCTGCAGAACTCTTTCCCTTGTGACTTGCACGGACAGACTGCCCACTGTGCCTCTTAAGCTTCTTCCTGGTCAGGCAGCTCCCCTGGCTACCTGCAGGTGTTCTCTAGTTAGGCTTGCTGACTGGCCTTTGGGGCAGCCTCTAGCAACTAATCTAGCAGTAGTAGCAGTGCCTTATCTCCTATGCAGGGCTTTGCCCTCCAGCACTGTTGCAGAACAGCTAGCACTGCAATAGGCAATCTGTTGCCCACAGAGGCTCTATACCACTGCAGAGCAGCTAGCTCTGCAATAGGCAGTCACAGCCTATAAATCCCTGGAGAGGGCTGTTCTCCTGTAGCAGCTAAGGAGTAGCCTTCCCCACCTGGGGATCTCCCTGTAGCTGTTTCTCCTTTAAAGTAACAGGAGCCCTAGGCTTCCTGTTATGCTGCACCAAGGCCCACATTCTGAACTTTTCTAAGCCACATAAACTGAGCCCCAGTCCTCCATCACAAGTCACCCCCTGCCCACCCAGCAGGAGCTGGGAGTGGTGGGGGCACAACTCCACACCTCTGCCCCTGCTGAGGGGTAAAAAGAAGGTAATGGGTAACGAGGGGCCTCTGCAAGACATGCTAGGAAATCTGGTCATCGCACCAGATGACAAAGCTAACCAATTTAACAATTTCTTTGCCTTCATTTTTCTGAGCAGGGACCAAGTCACCCCCTGCACTGGGGGCCCCTGTGGGCCCCAGGGGAGGTGCACCCAGGCCTAGGGTCAATGAAGACCTAGTCAGGGAACTTCTGGAGGGACTGGATGCATTTAAATCAGCTGGTCCTGATGATCTCCACCCCATAGTGCTGAGGGAATTAGCAAAGGTCATTGCAGGACCCCTGGCACTGCTTTATGAGCACTTGTGATGCTCTGGCAATGTGCCAGAGGACTGGAAAAGGGTTAATAGTTTCATAGTTTCATACTTTCTAGGGTCGGAAGGGACCTGAGTAGATCATCTAGTCCGACCCCCTGCCATGGCAGGAAAGAGTACTGGGGTCAAACGACCCCAGCAAGGTGTACATCTAGCCTCCTCTTAAAGACCCCCAGGGTAGGAGCTAGCACCACTTCTCTTGGAAGTTGGTTCCAGATCCTAGCCACCCTGACAGTGAAGTAGCACCTCCTGATATCTAGCCTAAATCTACCCTCTGCCAGCTTGTGATCATTATTCCTGGTCACTCCTGGCAATGCTCGGGGGAACAGGGACTTCACCAGTGCCTGCTGGTCCCCTCTGACTAGTTTGTAACAGGCCACTAGATCCCCCCTCAGCCTTCTCTTGTGGAGGCTAAACAGGTTCAGGTCCCGTAGCCCCTCCTCGTAGGGCCTGCCCTGCTGTCCCCTGATCATGTGAGTGGCTCTCCTCTGGACCCTCTCCATGTTGTCCACATCCCTCTTGAAGTGTGGTTAATGTGGTTCCCATTTTCAAAAAAGGGAGAAAGGAGGACCCAGGAAACTATAGGCCAATTAGTATTATCTCAATCCTGGGTAAGCTTTTTGAGAGAATTATCTTACAGCATATCCGCGAGAGGCCAGCAGGGGAGATTATGCTTAGGGGCAACCAACATGGGTTCATTAGAGGCAGGTCCTGTCAGACCAACCAGGTGGTCTTCAATGA